AGGATGTTGTCAAAACAGACAATGTGAGAATTCAGTATTAGATTACATTGAAAAGTCATAAAAGAATCTAAATGTTTGATAGTAGCCATTGTGCAGTGGCCAACAAAATCTACCACTCCGCTGAAAAATAGCACTTGACCTTTGTAATTGGAGAAGAAACTGATCCAAGTGCTTCAGTTCCAGAAAGAACATCACATATTTTCCTGTAGGCTTTAGCACAATGATGCCACTTGTTAATTTATATCCACATGTCTATGTCTGATTCCTCTTTGCTTCCCCAATGTCTAACACACTGCCTTGTATATAGTAAGCAGGCTTTCATCCCAAACAAGAAAACAACCAACTAACATTTTATTCAGTTTCCGCTTTGTGCCAAACACTGGACTCAGCAGCACCGGAGAAGAGAGGGGCATGATGCCTGTTGTCTAGAAGTTCAGCAATCTAGTGAGAGAGACAGATAACAAAAATAAATAACGATGTATACTTAAAATAGTGTTGTAGGAAACCAAACCAAAAGCTGGTTTTTTGAAAAAGTAAATAAAATCGACAAACCTCTGGCCAAAATAGTGTTGTAGGAGGTACATAGAGTCTTCAGTGGGGGCAAAAGCAGAAATGGAGATGAAGCTTGAATGAATGCCTGTTCTTTTCTTATTCAGGTGACATTCTGCAGACTTCGGACTCACCAATGGTGTTTCATTCTGTTTAATGTTATCCTTTTTCATGCCTTGCTTTTTGGGGCTGATTTTGTGGAAGAATATTTTCTGCATGCTTTGCCTTATGTAGATATGAAAGTTCTTGAAGTTAAAGATAAGGCAAGAAAATTGAACACAGAGCCCCTAAGAAATAATCTTTCCAAATATTATATCCTGAGCCAGCCGGAGGTGTGTAAAGGGAAGAACATATTTTTGCTCTCTCTTATCTTCAGTAGCCCAGGAAATGAAACAAGGCGGGATCTCATTAGGAAAACCTGGGGTAATGTAAGCAGTGTCCAAGGGCACCCCATTCTCACACTGTTTGCTCTGGGAATGCCTGTTTTGGTAACTACCCAGCAAGAGATAGACGAAGAGTCCCAAAAGAATAATGATATAATTGAAGGAATCTTCTTGGACAATGCTGAGAACCAAACTCTGAAGATTATCACAATGATGCAGTGGGCTATGACTTTCTGCCCTAATGCCCTGTTCATCCTCAAGGCTGATGAAGAGATGTTTGTCAATCTACCAAGCTTGGTAGACTATCTTCTCAATCTGAAAGAACACCTTGAAGATATCTATGTAGGAAGAGTTATCCATCAGGATATGCCCAACAGAGACCCTAATAGCCAAGAATTTGTCCCTTTTAGTGAGTACCCAGAAAAGTACTACCCAGATTACTGCAGTGGTGAGGCCTTTATCATGTCCCAAGATGTGGCTCGGATGATGTACGTAGTTTTTAAAGAAGTACCCATCATGGTGCCTGCTGATGTATTTGTAGGAATCTGTGCTAAGTCCATTGGCCTTAAACCCATCCACAGTTCAAGGTTTTCTGGGAAAAGTCACATCAGATACAACAGATGTTGCTATAAGTTCATTTTCACATCCTCAGAAACTACAGATACTGAAATGCCCTTGGCATGGAAGGAAATTAACAACGGGAAAGAATGTACACTCTTTGAAACCTACTATGGGCTCATTTCCTGCAAACTTCTGACATACCTTGACAGCTTTAAACGTTTTCACATGGGTACCATAAAAAATAATGCCATGTATTTTGGTGATTAGGATTTCTTTGTTTTTCTTTAAAAAGTCTGTTTTTAAAATTACTTCCTACCTTGTTATAGAATGTGCCCCTCCTTCCTTGTGTTTTCTGTAGTTTCTCTGAATGTTTGATTGTACTCAGCAAGTTGTAGTGTTCTTAAGTGCTCTGATGTACTACGTCATATTGAGATCTCATTTTAAAAAATTTAACTTGGTGTAGTGTGATTCTTTTCAAAACAAAATATTTTGCCCAGAAAAGAGAGAACATTAAATGCAATTATAATCAAAAGTCTTGTTTCTCTTTACAATTAATGGATTTCTAAAAATCACATTGTATAGAAATGTCACGACTCAGGGACAGCAGTGGTGACTGATTTTTGAGAATGCTCAGAATGAAAGGAAAACACTAAATAAGGTTTTTAACAAAATGTTCATCTTGTCTGCAAGCAGGAAACATTCCAGTAATCTGGGCGGTGGAATTTAAAAGTATTAGATACCTAGTGTATATTAATTAAAATCTCACTAGTGTAAAGACTTGGATCTCTAACTTTTTGTGAAACAATTTTAATCAAGTCCAGTTAGGTGGTGTTTTACAAATGGGATGCAAAAAACACATGTTTCATCTTATGTATACACTCTGTATTAGTTTCCTAGAGATATAGAGTATAACAAACGAGGTGGTTTAAAACAACGGAAATGTATTCACTTTCAGTTCTAGAGAATAGAAGTCCCCAATTAGGATGTCAACAGAGCCCTGCTCTCTTTGAAGCCTGTAGGGGAGAATCCCTTCTTGTCTCTTTTAGGTTTTGATGGTTGCCAGCAATCCTTGGCATTCCTTGACTTGAAGACGCTTCACTTTAATCTCTGCCTCCATCTTCACATGGCCTTCTCCAGTGCGTTGGTGACTTTATATATAATGTTTCCTCTATGCTGTGTCTGTGTCCAAATTCTGCTCTTCTTCTAAGAATGCCAGTCTTTGGATTAGGGCCCACCTTTATGATCTCATCTTAACTTGATTACACCAGCAATCAAACAAACCAATGACCTATTTCAAAATCAGGTCGCATTCATAGGTACCAGGGGCTAGGATTTCCATGTTATCTTTTGAGGGGATGCAATTCAACCCACAACATGCTTTCTGATTTCTCTTGTATGATGAATAGGCACTAGATCAGTAGTTCTAATTCTGGGGTTCTTGAGATTTCAGGCAACCCCAAAGTAATACACATTGAAAATCCCTGCCATGGCCCTTATTAGATCATGTTTTTGGATATGTCACTAAATGATACTGAGCCTCAGTTAATGCACAAAATCAACCTTGCAGGGGCTATGTCAAATGTTTAGCATTGAATTTGGCTCATAGTGTTTGATAAGAGGAAGAGGCAGTGTTTAAGAACATATGTTCTGAGTTAAATAGCTTTAGTTCAAATCTCAGTTCCACTTGTTTGCTGTGTGACTTTGTACAAATTCCTTAACTTTGCTGTGTCTTGATCTCATGTATGAGCAGGGTAATAATAGTACCTAACTCCGGGGAGTGGGAGGATAGCAACATGAGTTAATACATGAAAAGCTGTGTGAACAATGCCTGACACACAGTCACTGCTGTTACCTTCAAAATTTAGCCAGGTAACAAAAGGGGATCACATCTGATTTACCCCCCAAAAGCCAGGTTAACATTCTGGCTCTCGGCTGTGACACCTATACAAGGTACTTAACCTCTCAGGATTAATTTAATGTCTTTGTCTGTGAAATGGTACTTAGCTTGTACGACTGTTAGCAGGATAAAATAAGAATATGCACACCAAGTACCTAGCATAAAATAAATGCTAAGAAATAGTAGCTATTATTAGTTATAATGATAAAGAATTTCACAATTTTCCACTTTAAATCCTAGGCTTTGGTCATATTGAATTACTTGTGGTTCCCTAAGTGTGTTTGCTTTTCATTACCTGTACATCTGCTTGCTATACTACTCCCCTCTATTTTTTTAAAAAAGATTTGTTTTTGATGGAGGTACTAGTGATTGAACCCAGGACCTCGTGCATGCTAAGCATGCGCTCTACCACTGAGCTAAACCCTCCCCCTCCCCTTACTACTCCCCTCTGTTCTTTACTTGACTAGCTCCTAGTGGTTCTTCAAGATTCAGGTGTTTACTTCTCTGGAAAACCTTCTCTCAAGTCTAGGGTAGGTGTTCTGTTTTCCTCTGTAATTGTATTCACTATATGTTAATTTTTTTACTGATCTATTTTCCTCCACTATTAACCCCTTGCTACCTGTGTGATCTGGGGATAAGCTACTTAACTTCTCTGAGCCTCAGTTTCATCTATGAAACAGAGATGTAAAAATTAAATGAGATGAACTTAGCTCTTACGACAACATCTAATACTTTTGCAAATGCCAAGTACATAATGAGCAGTCAATACTGTTTATTTATTCAGTGCAAAATAAAACACTAATTTGCATATTTTATTTAATCTTACTCTGATGTTAAATGAATAAAATCACATCATGAATGAGAAGTCACCTTAGAGAATGTTTCTCAGGCCAGGAAAGCCTTGGCAGTAGCCCCATTAGTGGTAACAGCAGTAGGGAAACGGTCATTATGGCAACATGGAAAAGGGGGACTCAGGGATACCAGAGATAGTGGAAGAGAGATGACCAATCTGGGGACAAGAAAATTCCAGTCACTTGAGAACCATTTTGTAACACAGCAGGGATGGTTTATCAGCATCACCGTGGCTTAAAAGAAATCTATCTCTACATTCTGAACCATCACACTCTGTTAACACATCAATGTAGAAGCCTCTAGATTGGTGATTGCTTTGCCATTTAGAGAGCAGAGCACTGGAAAACAGGTGGGAACATTTTATGTCAATGAAAAGAAAGTGCACCCTTTGTTCATCAATGGGATGGTGTCCTGCTTCAGACATACTGTCCCCTTCATTCTGACTCTGGCTGTTAGGAGTTGGCTTCCCTCTAGCTGATCAACTCAAGATTGACTGAATGAACCTCAAAAATTAAAAGCAAAACTCAACAATGATGACCCACTAATAAATAAAATGACAGTTTGGGGACCTTTCTGGTTTAGCATGTTATCACGTCTCCCTACCCCAAACCACAACACAGTTAAATGCACTGAGCAACAGCAAAACAAAACAAAACAAAACAAAACAAAAACAAACTATCAGTGAACACTAGAGACACTTTAAAAAGATTTATTATCTATTTTTCAAAGGAATAATAATAACAAAAAAAATCAAGAGATCTTATTAAAAGTATTTATTCTTAGCACAGGGAACATAATTTTAAGATTGCATATATTTGTTTTACAAAGAATATTTATATCCAAGACTGTGAAAGTGGAATCAGAAGTGGGGAAAGGACCAAAAGAAAAAAAAAGGTGATAAAGAGAATTCAGAAACAATTTAGTTCCATTTAAGTTGAAGTGGGTTTTAAAATAAGACAGTGAGAAGTCCACAAAAACTTTCTGGGAGGAGAACAAAACCCATTTTCTTGCAAAGATTAAGGCAGTCAAAGGAGTCTGAAGAATATCTGGATCAATGACCAAGTGTGCCTGCTTTCCTGGATTGACACTGTATTTCAGTGTAGAAACATAACCAGTGTCAGTGATAAACTTCCATTAGATACTCCATGATAACTCTGGTGGGAGGGAAGTCTCTGTTTTGTAAAATACAGAGTCAGATGACTCAGGAAAAATTTTGGTCAATAAGTGGTGAAGACTCTACAAAAAATCATTCAGCTCCTTCCACTGCTGTCGTGGAAATAGGTTTCACGTAGTATGGACCTTCACTCAGGTAAGTTCTGAGCCTCAAATAATTTGGGTTCCCAAAGATTTCTGCAATTGTCTTAGAATTGGCAAGTGCTTTCACCAGTTCATATTTGGCATCCTTTGAAGCTTTGTCATGCTCTACGGACCGGTCCATCACATATTCTACGAAACCTGGACTGTGAAACATAAGTTTCTGAGCCCAGGGTTGGTTTGCAATGGCCTGAAATGGAAAGCAGAAAGAACACAATTCCTCTGAGCCTTAAGAGGTTAAGTTTGTTAATGAGATGGCACAAACCTTAGAAGGAAATCTGGCAACATGAACCTTAAAAAAATGTTACTTTTTGCCTAAGTAATTCCCTCCTGAACTCTAACTTAAGAAAATAATCAAAGTATTAAAAAAACCTTTATATACAAAGATGCTCGTCGCAGTGTGAGAGGTACAATACACAACCCTAACAGTGCAAAGGTGGGTAAATAAATTATGGTTTACAGCAATAAAAAATTAAATAAACATTAAGAATAATGTTTATAAAGAATAGGTTATATGAAAAAAATAGATCCAAATTATATACATAAATAATCACAACAACAGAAAAATAAAAACAAAGACTAGAGAACAAAAGGCTACCCTAAAGAAGCTCTCATACATGTGCATGAGGACAGTTTCGAGACTGTTCATTGTACCATCATTTGTAAGAGATACGATCTAAATTTTCATTTACTGGAGAGTGACACGCTGTGGCTATTCAATGAAATATTAATGACTTTCT